CGTTGTACATTTGCTGTTATGTTAAAGTTTTTCTTCATTACCCATTCAAGCCGTCTCCAGCCATTACTAATAGTAATCGATTAATTGTTCGGAAAACGTAATTTAATAACGATGAAAAACACAAAACCTGGACATATATGATAATATTACGTTCATGTTTTCCTTATTATGGAAAAAAAAACATACTAAAAAAATTAAAACATGTCAGATTTGTTTTTTTAAACAAGTTTAAAAAATGAAGTAGGCCTAAAAAGGCCTGCTTACCTTTCCTTTGAACTCAACTATCACATAGATCAGCGTAAGTTAATCACAACAGTTACATTTACTCTTAATCTCAGGAACAAGAAAATTGTTTACTCGTATTCACTCTTTTAAAAAATCTGATTATTTGACCTCATAAATAAATATAAACAACATTTTTGGAACTTATTCATCGAGTAAAGTTTAGTACTAGCATTGTTGGTCACTGTAAGAACGGGAAATAAAGTTTAGTATTAGTATTGTTGGCCACTGTAAGAACCGGAAATAAAGTTTAGTATTAGCATTGTTGGTCACTGTAAGATAGGGAAATAAAGTTTAGTATTGGCATTGTTGGTCACTGTAAGAACCGGAAAAAAGTTTAGTATTGGCATTGTTGGTCACTGTAAGAACGAGAAATAAAGTTTAGTATTGGCATTGTTGGCCACTGTAAGAACCGGAAATAAAGTTTAGTATTGGCATTGTTGGTCACTGTAAGAAGGGGAAATAAAGTTTAGTATTAGCATTGTTGGTCACTGTAAGAACGAGAAATAAAGTTTAGTATTAGCATTGTTGGTCACTGTAAGAACGAGAAATAAAGTTTAGTATTAGCATTGTTGGTCACTGTAAGAACGGGAAATAAAGTTTAGTATTGGCATTGTTGGTCACTGTAAGAACCGGAAATAAAGTTTAGTATTAGCATTGTTGGTCACTGTAAGATCGGGAAATAAAGTTTAGTATTAGCATTGTTGGTCACTGTAAGAACCGGAAATAAAGTTTAGTATTAGCATTGTTGGCCACTGTAAGAACGGGAAATAAAGTTTAGTATTAGCATTGTTGGTCACTGTAAGAACCGGAAATAAAGTTTAGTATTAGCATTGTAGGCCACTGTAAGAACGGGAAATAAAGTTTAGTATTAGCATTGTTGGCCACTGTAAGAACGGGAAGTAAAGTTTAGTATTAGTATTGTTGGCCACTGTAAGAATGGGAAGTAAAGATACTCATTACATGTTACCAGAGTCACGTGACTTCCGCTGTCGTAACAATATTAATGGAATTAGAAACAAAATCTGTCAAAGAGCAAATTACGTAGGACATCTGAATGGGAACAACAGAATACATACTCAAAATATATAAAACCTATATACGACCAGTGGCAGAGTACGCTTGCCCATGGTAACCAAATCATACGTAAACAAGCTACAAACAATACAAAATTCAATAATCACTAAATCATACAGAGTTCCTATATACACAAACACAACATAATTACCCAAACCTCCCCATGTTGTTAGACAGACTTCAAAAACAGATCGTTAAATTACTTTCACAAACATCTTAACAAAAACGAAGCATTAAGAACGCTGTAAAACTTTATCTACATAAACATAATAGACCTCTCACAAAACGAATCATTAAGAACGCTGAAAAACTTTATCGTACATGAACATAATAGGCCTCTCACCACTAAATTTAGGCAAACATCCTCGCCGGGCCCCCTTTCTCTCTCTCTTTTTTTTTAACATTTTCAATAATGTATTAAAAAGAAGATCCTAAATTAGGACAGCAACGAGCTCATAAACCAGACAAAATCATAGCAGCAGCCGTTTTAACCTCACAGTATAAGCGTAAAAACGTTAATAAAGTAACAACAAATATCTATTAAATCTATAAAGTAACAAATACATATTAATTACTACTCAAATTATTATTTCAATCGTTCTTAATGTATCAAGCATCTATATGCAAAGAAAAGCCAAAAACTATGGTTTTTATCATTAAATGAAGATTTAGCCTAAAGATGCTTTGCGGGCTTTACGGCATAACCAGGTTTCATTCGCCTGGGCCCCTGGACAGTTGCCCCCTTTGACCCGCCCCCTGTCGGCGGGCCTGCAGACAATGATAGATTTACGCTTGCTTGTCACAAAAAGGCA